TTTTAACATTGAAAATGGGGAAAATAACAGCATAGAATGATGTGTAGATATATAAAGGTTAGTTTAATGCAATAAAATAGATTTTTAAAAATTTGACATTCCAGCATGTTTTGGCCATTTCCTCTGAAACACGATTTGCGACGAGTGACTGGTTTGACTTGTCTTTGCCACATATTTGATGGGCAGCATTGAAGTCAAGGCAATATTCTGCAAAGCAGGGTTAAGTTAGTGATACCAAAGATACTAGAAACACAAGATAGAAGTCTGCAAAGATAAAAAATCGTATCACTTAATTACATGGTAGGCAAACTGTACTGACTCAAGTTTGGTTATCTCCAGCCGCACACCCTACGCCCTTAAATGAGGCGCCACACATAGCTGTAGATAAACGTACGTGAATTGCCATTATTGGAAACTGAAGTGCGTCGGGACGTCTGGAGATGCGTAAGATTTGCTTCACTTTCGTCATGCGAGAGTTCTATCTTGTGTTTCCAGTATCTTTGATATCACTAACTATAATTAATATATTGTATTTTTATTAATTATTATAATATATATCACAAATTTTTTATATTTATGTACTTATAATTAATATTGTATTTTTATTAATTATTATTTATTTTGTGACTTAAGGCACTTGCTTTCCAATCCCAGGGTCATGGGTTCAATTAATACAAATGCCAAAATTTCCTTATGCAGAGCCCTGAGAATGATTATAAGTGTACACATGAAGCAGAAATGTCCACAGTACTAACAGTGTTAGCATTACAAGAAAAAAATGCCACATTTTAATGCAAACAGAACCAAATATAGGAACAGGTAAACCTGTGTCAAGGTATCTAGAGAGTGTGGGGTAGTTGGTGGCACAGGGGTAAATTCCCCTCTATTCACTGTTAAATTTACCAATTCCATATTGCTAAAAATTGATGATGCTTAATTTTTCTGAAGCACTAGATTAACTATGGGTATGTTCAAATTTATGAATTAAAAACATATCTATGTAGCATATAGCTAACCTGCCCAATGTTTACAGAGGGCTTCAAGCATCTGCAACCTGTCCATGGAAAGCTGAGCTACTAATGTTACATCGTTACCATCAGGCTTCTGTAAGATATGGAGAAGAACTGTTTTTAATACCACATTTATCTATCTTTACTCCCCATCCCCCTTTTCGCTCTTAAGTCAGAATTGGTTGGTGTATCGGTTGTGACTTGGTCTCCTAACCTCGAGGTCGGGGGTTTCGAAACTCTTGCTGTGCAAACCGCTTGTGTCCTTGGGCAAGGCACTTTATCTACGGTTGCCTTTCTCCACCCAAGAGTACAAGTGGGCACCTGGTAGTTTCGAATACAATAAATGAAGCGCTATATAAGACCGACATATTACTATTATTAATATTATTATTAAGTTTCCAACCACAGCAAAACCAAAACTTTTTGCAGTATCATACAGTATAACACCCATATGTGTGCAAGAGCACATTTGTAACACCCAATTTGATAGAGGTTACAATGATAATGAATAAATTAAATTAATAATAATAAAAAAAAACTTACTGGCATGTATTCATAATCTAGATAATATAAGTGTGTCCTGTGCAACAGTATTCTTTCTCTTCTAAAATCATAGCATTCATCTGACTCTTCTAGTTCATCAGGCTAAAAACACAAAAATGTCCAAATGTACAGTAATCAACATGAAGTAAATTAGCTAGTAGTAACACAGCCAATGAGGTACATTATCTTGATGAACTGGGATATTGCATTGGATTGGAAAGGATTTGAATGGATTTCTGTGGTGTACAATACAAAGTCTGAAGACTAATTTCCAGTGGGGCTAGTATAAATAGAGATTATGTTGGTAAACTTACACTGAGTTGAAGAGTTCCATGTGAACAAAGCTAAGCTTAGTTAAATGTATACATTTGCTATTGTGAACACAGGTAATAAATATACTCCTATTTTACCCGGATGAGTTTGGCTGGCTAAGGTGAACATACCCTAATTAAATTTACAACTAAGAGATTTGCTAATGTGAACACAGCTTAACCTGATAATAACTGTATTCCTTTTTAATGTGAAGGAAGTACTTTAAATTGTATAAGTTTTTAGAGTAAGTGGATACATTTACCCCTATGAGAATTACTACAGCGACCACAGCTTAAGGAAAATTTTAATACGCTACCTTTGTTTCTTGTGTTGATGTGTTGACGTTCATGTGACCACAGCTGAACAGTTCTCGTCTTAATAAATTTCCATCGTATTCTAAGAAACTTAAGTAAAGGTTGCGGAAGAAATCAATGTGTTTATTCTTCACCTGCAGCTTGAGTGGTGAATTCCAGTGGATTGCTTGAATGTCGCTTAGCTCCGTGTAGCATAGCTGGAAATTAAATATACATAAAATTATCTATGTATAACTTGGTACAAATGATACTACTAAAAGATAGTTGTAAGAGCTTGACAGTTGGTCTGTACACTGGAAAAAAAAATACCCACTCTACTACTGAGATTCATTGCAGCATGTGTGTGCGCCATTTGCTCTGGTGATGAACAACAAAACGTTTGATCAAAATGTTTATCCATATTAAAAATGATGGAAATTGGCACTATTTATAAATAACATACATTAATGCATTACTTACCTCACTGCGGGTATGCTCACTTAGCTGTACATTCCATGAGCATGGCAGATTGTATACTATGTGAGGATGATCTTTTATTACTGCATTGAATATATCCTGCAATGGAAAAAGCTTTAATGAGCATTCTATACAATGTAAAGTTTATCTTTTCAACTTTCAGACCCTAAAAATTGGTGTTGTTAAGTATCACTATATATTACATCAATAATGATTATTATAAGTCAATCGTGACGTCATCACTGCACATCCCAGTGTTATTTGATCCCTCACAGTTCAATATTTTTTCACTTAATGCACGCTTGGCTTGATTTTTTATTAGGTTTGTGTGCAAAAAAATACATCTTTTTTCATCATCACAAAGATTACTAGGCTAGTGTTTTTACTCCTAGCATTATGATGCATGTCTGTGGAAAGAAAGAACAGACACTCGCCCAATTGTCGTTGACCCATGTTGACAAATGGTATTTGAAAAATTACTTTCGTAAAACAAGGTTGATTAGAACCCGAACAAAGTTACTTCAAATTCAATATTAAGTATGAAAAATGTAGGAATTCCTCGAATCAATAGACTCTAATAATAAAATAAAGAATGAACATTTAATAGTATATTCTGGACCTATTTTAAAGACTCAAGGAATGAAATTAGATGTAGGCCTAGGTAAGAGGTTGCTGAGGCCTAGATCGTAGCCTAGCCTCAACACATGATTTTACCTGTCTGCACCGACCAAAAAGAGATTAGGGCCTGGTGTATTCCCTGAAATGCTTTAAGGAATGTTTATTTCTTTGACGAATGTCTATCAAAATAGCATTACAAGTTCTTCAAACACAATAAAATAGCTATTTATCGTATCCGAACTGATGTGTTACGTCTCACTAGCTGTGTGTTAGCGCGTACTGCAGGAGCATTTTTAGAATACGCAAGCACAGCTAAAAGTAATACCATGTAATACACACGCACACACAGCAGTATGATCATATTGCTATAGCAACCGATAACTGCTACAACAGTTATCAAAACTAAAAGATGGCGATTGACTTATAATGCAATTAGTACAGCTGCATACATTGTACACTAGGATGAAAATTATTATATTTAGGTTAAATTTTAAAAAAAATGTTTTCAAGCATTAAATCTAATCTTCGTATAATAATTTTCCACTAGTGCATTATGCGCAGGCCCTCAGAAAATTTTTCCAAGCATTAAATCTAACCTTCATATAATAATTTTCCACTAGTATACTATGCGCAGCTCTACTAATTACTTATTAGCCATTTGGTAAACAGGATAATTGTATTTCACACGAACGTCATTTATACTTAAGCCATGTCCACACTAACAAATTGTATTTTACAAAACCATGTGACATGCCTATATATGGTCGTGATAATCATATATAGGCACATCATCACTATATATGGGCATACAATAGTTTTTTTGTCAAAGAAAATTTGTTAATCTGGATAGAGCTTTAGATCTAGCAGTATAAAGCTGTTTGTTCACCTGGTCTGCCAATGAGGTTGATAACAAACTCATCAATTCTTTCTCAGCTGTCAATCGCCACATCTTCATCCAATCTATTTGTCGCAGCCTATCTAGAGCTAGTAGAATGAGACCAGTGTTATAACCCCTACCCTGTGTGTAAAAAAAATCCAAGGATAAAGATTCAAGAAGTTTTGCAAACAGGCTGAACAAACTATGAAGTGGAAATGTGGTTTCCCAGGCGCGGATCCAGTAAGGGGCACATGGGCATGTGGTCCCTCGTTTAGCCACTAAATTTTAAAATTTCAATGCATACCAATGTTATAATTATTCTGAAACTGTCGTGCCCCACCCCATTTGAAAAATTCTGGATCTGCACCTGCTTCCAAACTCAGGGTTCTTGGTTCAAATCATCTCATTCCACCTTCGAGACCAAAATACGTGTCCCCATAACAGGAGAGTCCTTGATTAGGTATTGGCCGTAGTATTAAAGAATATATTTTCCCTTGATTCTCGGCAAAAAAGTGGCCAATTAATAGGGGTGTCTCCCTAATAGAAGTGTTCCGAAGGAGAACAATCTGTTGTATTTGAAACTTTAAAATATTCTCATCTGCACTGTGATTGTTCTCAGAACCATCCATATTAATATATATGAATTAAGTATTAAAGTTCTGCCTCTTGATTTTGTTTATAAACTACTGTAATAATAATACAGCATTGATATTGCAAAACAATGTAAGCAGTCTTACCAATGCAGGCCAAGGCTTGTGTTTCTTCCAGATGGTACCCAAATACCAATCGCTCTGATTCTCAACGAGTCCAAATAATATAGGACTTGTTAAATGACGAAACAGCTGCCATAGTTCTGCTATATCTCTTGCAAATGTTAAGTCAGTGTCTAACACTATAACCTTCAAAAACATAATAAAAATTGTTTAATTATACAATATTAAGAGCAACAGCTCTAACAATACATGAAAATAAAATAATATACAGCTCTGTATGAAAAAAAAAACAAGTAAAAGTAAGAAATAAAATTACAAAATTAAAATTAATAGGCATATGGTTTTTTTTTGTTTTTTTTTTGGTTAAAAATCATTCTTAAATAATGTGTACTTACCTTTTTTAAATCCTTTGGTAAAATTTTTATGAAAACAAGCTTCATCAAGCCAAATATACCAGAATAATGCTTGTTTGGAATCCAGGAAACATCACCCTGAAAAAACAAAGACCAAAAAGGATGATTACCATGAATTGTGATGGTAATCAATCAGGAGCTGTTTGACATGCTGGTTATTTTATACTCGCCATCCAAGCCCAAGTGTCCTGGGTCCAAATCCTGCAACACCAAGACTGAACAATAAATGATGGTTATCAATATAGTTTCATTTGCATATTATTATTGTTATGATTGCTATAATATAATGATTATGGTCATGATTATCATTATTATAATAATGATGATAAAAATGCTAAAATCTTAAAAGTTAAAGTTTGTTAATTAGTTATTAGACAAAATAAAAGTAATATTTTACATTATACATAATAAATATAATATCATCATTATGTAATATATTATAATCTTTGATAATTTAAAAATATGTATGACACCCTTTTAATTGGAAATTACCAGATTTTGTTACATTTTTACCTAGTCATTTATTTATGAGCGGATCCTTGCAAATTTATTTCTATGTAAAAAATTTTCTTTTACAAATGACAATAAAATATACTGAATATTGAACTGAATGCTGAGTAAATTATAAAACAAACAATTCTCAAAATTACCGTACTACTTGATGAGCTTACCTTATATGTTTCCGCTAAATAAAAACTAACTTGAACTGAAAGAAAACACAAGTATGACATAATAAAAATAGCAATCTGAAGAATATGAATTCTTTTGATAAATCACAGATTGTTAAAAATTTGTAGGCCCAGGGGTGAAAACGTGTTGGGCCTATGAATTTCAGTAAAGTAATAACTATACTAACATTATGAATATCAAGGCTAAAATGACTGGATCAAAAGCAATGACAGAATCGTTAAAGAAAATAATAACCATAGAATGAACTTTTATTTTCCTACATTCCAGAGCCAATTTGGACTGGGGGCCCTGGGGCTCCCCCCCCCACACATAGGCATTACATGGCTGAGTCTATTTGCAGTGTGAATCCCTTGGAATTACATGTGTACTAACACAAACGTATGCTAAACATATTCTGTAATACAATTGGAGATGTTAGTATTTATATGGAAAGCAAAAATTTAAAAAGAAAGAAAAAAAACCTACGTCCTGGAAGATTCCACGTTTTAAACAATGTACTAAGCGTAAGCTGAGCTATTTCGTCTGAGATAAAGTGAAAATGAAGAGGGTTTTTGCGATAAAATAGGATAGACTTAATCAAGGTTATGACCTCACGACTCGAGTTGTGACCAGCGCACACTATTGCTATATGAATAACCTAACAAAATAAAAGAGAAACGTGATGAAAAATTTCATGTCAATAATAATAATAATAATCCATATTAATATAAACTGATTGTTTTCCATGACCAAATGAATCACAATAAAATAAAAATAAATCATTTATTAATCGGATTACTGAATTGTTTAGATTGAAACATTGTAATTATAGGATCTCGAATGAGGGCATAAAGGCGTTTTCTGTTACCTTTATTACTTCACACACTAATTATTTAATAAAATATGTCTATTTTCTCCTCCACATATTTTACCAATTGGGAAAACAAAATTTGATCTGTATTTTTTCCACCCTCGTAAATAAAGTTTGCTATTAAAACAAGGGGTATTTAGCACTCCGATTCAAGACCACCTTTGAGGCCTGAACATTCGGGTGGTCCCAGGATTCAGCCTCCATATAGAGGGTTAACCTAGTGTTAATAGATTGAAAACTGTTATTTGGTTCTTTGAAAAAAGTGGTCTAATTGGAGGATGCACTGTATAAAAGCAGTCTCGCCCTACTAGGCAAACCAGGTAGTGTATTTCCAACATAAGACAGCTGATGTCAGTTGGTTTTGAATCTCACCTCACATTTTGGTATCACTAGCTTATTCCAACATTCTGTCTGGTTTGCAGGAGCTGAAACATTTCTTTCTTCTTTGAGATGTTCGTATAATTCATAGGTGTGCTCTAATTGGCTCTGAGATATCCTGTGGAATAAAAACAATATAGCTTGTATAGATTTATCAATTGTGTTCATTATACAGTAAGTGATCATGTGACAACATTGATCATGGTCATACGACCATACTGTGATTGTGATCATGTGACTATACCATTATTTGTGATCATGTCACAATACATTGCTCATGATCATGTCACCGTACCTTAGCTGTGCTTTTAGCATATGATTTTCCTGCTCTGACTCTTGAATCTGTTTCTTCAATTCTGAATTCCTGTTCATTAGCACATCAACATTTTCTTGGTCTAGAAGTCAAAACACGGATATTGAGAATAACAATGTAGTAACATGTTATTATTATTATTATTATTATTATTATTATTATTATTATTATTATTAAAATTTAGCCACTCAAACACATTAACACAACTACCATATGCTAAAAACACATTTTACTAACCTACAATATTGTTATCTTTGCTAAACAAATATAAACAGATCAGACATCCAAATATAAGCAGTAGCAATAACCCCTTCTTCCAGTGGATTTTCACAGCAGTCATTTTTTAAATGCTTACGTCATCCTGTGAAAGAGTAACACACAAAATCAACATATACAGTTACAAGCTACCAATTATGTAGAGAATAACCAATCAAATTTAACCAATTATATTAAAAGTATAATGTACAGATCAAAAAGGTTAAATGAACAATGCTTTAAACAATTCATCACGCTATGGCCAGAATGTATAGGAAGCAGCCTGCGAGGGTGATGTATCCTCCGTGCAAAAATTGGGCCTAGAAATCTGTCCATGCATTTTAGAAAATAAGGGCCAATTTCCGCACAGATTATTCTGAACGTTAGGCTTCACCCTAATCTTAATATATAAACAATGTATTATGCAGTAATTACGAATATGTACACATATTTTCCATGCAAATTTTGAGCTGGTTTTTGAGGTATCATACATGCAATTAAAAAAGTTTACAGAATGGTGGCAATACAAGAAAATACAACTTTCAACTAAAGATAAACTCTGAATATCTACTTCAAGACCCAAGATAAAGACTTAAGGGCTTACACAGTAAAACAATGAACATATGTGACCAACTCTGGCAAAACCTGATGCATGCCGCAAATTCTAATTTCCCACAGGTACCAAAAACATTCAAGAACTGGAATTTTAAGATTTTCATGTTTTTGCATTTGATAAAAGAATTTGAAAAACATTTCTGCAAATTAGCAATCAGTAAGCCTAAATCTAACTGAAAATTATTTTTAAAATACAAATATTAGTAATAAACTATTGATTTTGGAATTTTTGGAAGCTGTTTTCTCAAAACCTACATGGCTTATAAACTATTGATTTCGGAATTTTTGGAAGCTGTTTTCTCAAAACCTACATGGCTTATATCCAATGAATTTAAATACTCATACCTTCGCTACTTCTCAAAATCTTCCATCAAATAAACACTATTTTAAAGAATTCATGCAGAATCTAAAATCACAGGTCCAAACGGCTGGTTTTATCAGAGCCGTCACATATATGGACAAATTTAAATCTAGAATGCACGCATTTTGAAAAAAGGGGCCAATTTCATGAAAACCTTGCTCATGTCTTTATACTACTACCAACGTATTATCACACAGTATTTCCGATTCTGTGCACCTATCGTTCTTCCTTTCCAGTGAATTTCCGCACAAATTTGGTTTTTGATGTATCCTCTGTACAAATAAAATACTTTTACATTGTGGGAGTCAACGAATACGCAATTTAGATTTTATAGGACTACATAAAATCTTTTTAAAAACTTCTGCTTTAGGCCTAGGAACATTTTATGGTACAAATAATTAATCTTCTCCCCGATCCTCTCATTATTCATTTCTAAAAAATCTCAATTGTGGGAATTCTTGGTTGCAGGAATGACTGAAAGAATCTCCTTGGTCAGTCTGCCTCAGGCGTTGTCTGTAGGAGCGCTACCACTTACAATACAACAACAAGCTAAGCAGTAACTACATTCGTTGGCTTAGGTCGTCTAGGCCTAGGTAGGTTGCTCTTTCATAAGCCAGGAAAGTCCGTTTGTTAAGGCCAGCATACCCATATTATAGGCTATAGCATAGCCTGGCTTAGCCTTCCTACCCCTAAAATCTGCAGCTTTTCAATTAATACAGCTTTTCTGCATGCCTTCTCTGATGTACAAACCTGATATCAAATTACCACAGTTTTAACAATACAGAACAGGCATACTTCAGGCCCTAAGCTAGGCCTACTTTTTGTAAGTCGTGGGCCTTGTTTTTGTTGTTCTTTAATTAATATGAAGCGAGCCCTCACCCTTGGTCGGGTATTTCCCCCTTGGTCTCAAAGCGGCGCTTCCGCTTTTCGCGCGGGTCGTTTCAAAACAAGATGATGTTGACCCCAGCAACTGCATCATGCTGAAGAAGGCAGTGCTTCTGAAAATCTCAGAATGTCTCATCCAAAAAGAAGATCTAAACTTAGGACTAGACCCACTTTTAATTTGATGGGATTCATTGTTTGTAAAAGTCCACTTATGACCGAGTAAGTGCACATGTCATGGCTCTGCTGGGTGGGATGGAATTGTTGAGGCTTGGCTAGGCTAGGCCTAGTAGGCTAGGGCATAGCCTTTTTTGTGTAGGCCTATGTGTCTTGTGAGTGAGGATCGATGAAAAGAAGGAATTGTACGGCTAGGCCTAGGCTTCACTGGATGAGACTAGTAAACTATGCATAGGTCTAGAGCTTATCTATACTATCTAGCTCGACCCTAGACCTATGCGCAGTCAGGGATAGCCTAACTAGCTAATTGGTGGAATCCTTAACATAAAAGGTAGTCAACAGAAAGTCCTAACTTAATTAACGTTTGTCATTGTTATGAATTATCCATTTTCTCACCTTCTTCACATTTCAATTTTATCTTCATAGAAAAAATGGCAACAAAATGTTTTTATTTGAGTTGCGGAGTAGGAGTCAGCAGTTCATCATTGCAAAGGTAGGCCCTAGGGTTGCTGATATGTTCCATCCCAAAGACCTGACTGTGTCCAATACTCCAAACCATTAGCGAGGACTTGGTGGCAGCCTACAAATGTTTGCCCACTCATTTTAATGTATTTGATCAGACTCTTGTTTTAACACTTTATCTTCATTTAAAAAAATGTGAGACTTGCCTTCCAGAGAGACTTTTCTTTTAGGCCTATATTGGAAGGTTGACAAGTTTGATAAAAAAATTGTTGTATATCTGATGGGCAAAAATCTCATAGTGTGTGGCTGCCCATAGTTTAGAAGAACAATACAAATTTTCAGGCAATGTACCACAACCCACATCCCAGGACATTAAAAAATAGATATTCAAAACAGGTCATGTAAACACTGTAATATATTTGACAACCCAATTTTTTTTTTTAATTGCTGCTGTAATTTTGTTTGGAAAATTATATTATTTGTTGAACCAATTAGTTGCTTACCTTAACAACGATTTCAGAAACTTCTACAGCCACTTTCTTCAGGCTAATGAATGCTTGGATGAATTGGGACATTCACGCTTCTGTGAATCTGTGCGCCAACATGTGTTTTGTGTGTAAATGACTCAAAAAAGATAACTTTTCCTACTACATTATACTTGGAACGATGGATGGAACCAGATGAAATTCATTGAGAATGTTTAAGTATGGTTACCAGGATTACTATAGTGCTCCCTGCTGTCTGCCACCTAAATTTAAAGTAGTATAAACTTTAACAAGAAATTGAATTCAGTTAATCAATCAATCAATCAATCAGAGTTTTATATGGCACACGTATCTATCATCCATATAGAGATGCTCACGGCATCTCTATATGGCAACAAAGTTATTTTTTACAACGAACTAATGAATTGTTTATATATTAATAATTAATTTCTATAGACTTTGCAACTTTTCATTATGCAAAACTTTAAGGATGTTGTAGTATTTATTTCCTTTAATGTAAATAATTTAGTGGCTTTGACTTTTTTAATAGGGGAACCAGTGGCAACTGTACAATGGTGTCCAAGTACACAAATACATAGAATTATCTAATGCCATTTCTACAACGATTACTAAGGTAAGTTTATTAAGTTAACCAAAGGATACTAGTGCATAATACATTATATTGTGTCTATGCACTATTTAAAAGACTATAGCTTTATCTAATAAGATTTGTTTGTAACAGTGATACACTATCAAAGTATTATTGGAATGGATACAGAAACAATCATACGCAAAAGACATCCATCCACCTTCGCTGCCTGCAAAATATACCTATTCTTTCATTAAACAAGAATTTTATTCTATATTTTTACGAAAGGTGATCCTAGTGTCTAAAGATTTGTCCAGACTATCAAATTTTATTTAACAAAAAAATGTGACATGCCTTAATATGGTCATGATGACATCACATCATGACCATATATAGGCACATCATGACTATATATGGGCATACAAAAAT